ACTCGGCGGAAACATTGAAAGTGCCGCCGCCAGAGCGTGTCAGGTTGAAAAACGCCCCTTGCGTTATCGCCGATGGTGCGGTGAAGGCTCGAGGGTATGACGATGGTCCTGTCCACGAGATAGTCAGGGAAGCCAGGATCTGCACAACGATGTAGACAGGGTTAGACGACGTCATTCTCCGACTGTTTCCATGCCCACTGACGGAACTGTAGGTGCTTCCCGGTCTTGTAGGAAAACCGTCCATGAATGATGATGTCGATGCGGCGGCTTGCGCGAACGGCACGAGGACTAGCTGCGGCCACTCGGCGGAAACATTGAAAGTGCCGCCGCCAGAGCGTGTCAGGTTGAAAAACGCCCCTTGCGTTATCGCCGATGGTGAGGTGAAGGCTCGAGGGTATGACGATGGTCCTGTCCACGAGATACTCAGGGAAGCCAGGATCTGCACAACGATGTAGACAGGGTTAGACGACGTCATTCTCCGACTGTTTCCATGCCCACTCCGACATCCGCATCTGCCAGTTGGCTGCGAATATCAGCAGATAATCCGCGGGAAATCCGCGGGTAATCCGCGGGTAATCCGCGTATATATGCGGGGCTCTAGAATAAACGCTATGCATTTTCTATTAAGCGCCGTTCACACTCTTGCGACCGACTTCGACAGAGGGCGACCAGACCGGTGTTTAAGCCTTTTGTGACTTCTTAGGACCGGATGCGCGGCAGCGGAGCTTGTCCTAAGAGATCGCAAGAGGCTTAAAAACCGGTCTGGTCTCTCTCGGTCGTACTCGGTTGCAAGAGTGTGAACGGGCCTTTATCGTGACAAAAGGTTTGGACAGCTTAATCTTCCAAACACGCGCTTAGGCGCCAACGAAATGCCTGTACTCCCTCGGGAAACATGGACACGCCACGACAATTCAAACTTTTTTTTTTATTCTCCTTTTTTGTTTTAAGAGAGACGGAGCGACGCAACGCTGAGGAATCTACAGCCCCGAACACATGAACGACGAGGACGGTGGCCACGCGGCGCTTTTCATTGCAACCACATTGTAACATTTTACGCCTTGGAAGAATAAACTGCGTCGTCTGGAAATGCAGTACGAAGCGAAAGCAGACGAATCTAAAGGAGCGAGCGAAGCTTCGCCTGACGGCGCTGACAGCTGTTCTCCCCGGCGTACTCCTGGTGACGTGGCTGACGTCACGAATTGTGAGGCGCGGGCCTCGAGTTTCCAAAAGGTTTTGATCTGCGGGCAGACAACTTGGGCCACTGGAGTTTCACTCGTGTACAACCGCGTATGCCGGCGCAGCACTTCGTTTGACGGGAACGGGGTGCACATTCTTTGGATGCTTCGGCCTCTGAGGACAGGTGCAATGACGTGAGTAATTTTTCTTTTCAATCGCTTTGTTTTTCTTTGCAATTACTTCGCGAACGCATTAGTTAGCGTTTTGAGACTAATAACTGTAAGTATCTCTGGGTAGGGACATTGACCCGCACGCCTAGGCACATTCATGAAGTTGTTTATTAGGCCTAAGATTGAATTAACTGGCCTAGTATAGTAAAAAAATGTTTTTTTATATTATGTGCCGAGCATCGAAGTTATTTCAGGGGTACTACTATATTCAAAAAAATATTTATTTGGCCTCACATTTATTTTAGATATTAGGTATATAGCTTTAAGAAATATGGGGGCGGGGGAGTCACATCAATTCATATCGAGTCATATTTCTTTGATAGTTATTCGAAATAAACTATTTTTTTCCTGCTTCAGATTTTGCATTTAAATTTAAAAATAAAAAGCGAATTTCTGGCTCTTCAATGTTCACCTTCGTATCTAGACACAGCAGTTTGATATTTTGTTTAAGTCATCTTGTCAAATTACATAACCCAGAGGGTCCGTAATTGGACGATAAAGGACGCTGTTGCCTGCTAAATGACATGTCTAAGATTGAATGTTTCATTTAAAATCCTTAATGTGCGCGAGAAAGAGTACTCGATCCATTACCGAGCACAGCGGGACACGTAACGTGTCCCGCTGTGCAAGAGGAAATACATTTGCCTAAGACGTCGGGTTGCGATTTGTTCGTCCAAATGGTTTTAATTAATTTAAAAACCTCTATGAATGAGCTTTAGTTCATACAGTTTGTAAGTTTGTAAGTATTCGTCACTAGTTTTAAGTTTATAAGTTTTTACTTTTTTTTTTGGATAGGTTAAACACTTTATGATTTAAACCGTAATACGCAAAGCGCTTAATCCCATTTGGAAAGGTTTTAAAAATGGCATGCACATGTATATGAACGAGTGAATGGAACTATATCCTGATGAAGGTGTTTTTTTCCTGTTACACCTTTGCTGTAGTGCCCTCAAATACTGCATGGTAATCTTTAGATAAAGTATAAATAAAAATGAAGAAACAGTTACTGACTCGAACAGCTGATGCGTCTCATATAGAAAGGTCCACGTAGCAGGGAATTTCGTTTTATCAAAGTTTGTAAGCCATAGTCCATCTGTTAAAAATACGAGAAAAAAAAAGAAAGCTAGAACTGTACGACTTTAAGCATTAATGTCTTTTCGAGCAGTCTACAAACAGGATTATGCAAAAGAGCAGAGATAACACGCAAGAATGAAACAGAAATCAAAGCCCGGGTAAAGCATCTTATTCGGTTGTAAAGGGTACCACTCAAGAACACGCAAAAAAAAAATGCTGAAAGGGAAAGAGTATATTGAGTAAAACACGTGGGCTTTATTTAACCGTCTGTCACTTTTGCAGATGGCGTACCCTTGCTTTGCTTCCTATGTAGTTAAAGATTTTGCAATCCTGGCTCACGAGTGATACTATAAAAAAAGAAAAGTATATCCTTCAAGTTTCACCAGAGGCCGCAAGTGTGGGGTCCGCGAACCTAAAAACAGCATCGTCGTGCCTTTCTGACATTTCCACAAATGTACGTGTAGGAAAGGGAGTCACTGAACTCGAACTGCTCGAAGCGTTTTATATTGCGTCGCTTGCGTTGCGGCTTAAAAAAAATTTTTTTTTTTTCGCGATAAATTATTAAAGCAAGCTGCCACTGAGTAGGTGTAGGTAGCACAAAACAAGGCTCAAAGGAGGTGGAACTTGTAAATTCGAGGCGAAGTTCTAGAATTTTCGGGCATTGCTCAACACTCTAAAGGCGCTTCTTTCGATACCAATGCTCTGATGCATGTTTTATCGCAAGCGATGCCCCATACAACGCGACCAATGAAATCTGAAGATACTGTCAAAAATAGCGACTTCCCTCGCACCCAACCGCTGTCATCCTGAGCATTTTGAAACAACATACTTTCAGAATGGCACTGACAAGCTGTGCTAAAAACCGAAGTTAATTCCGCGGGAATAGTTAGCTTCTGAGGGCGTCCACAGAGTGCAAGAGCACGCCGGCCGCGTTACGTAACACAAATGAACCAAAGGCGCAGTAGTGGATAGCGAGGGCTAGGGAGTATTTGGGCCGCCGGCGGGACGCCGCAAGGCGGCGTGCACGACTGGCTCAAGGCTCTGGCCAAAGGTGGGTTAATAGTTCGCAATGAGCCGGGTCCATATCACACGAGCGAGTGACGTTTTAGAGAACAGCAACGTTTCAGCGAATCGACGTTTTAGCGAATAACGGGGCGCGTGTTAACACCCCTCCCTACCCCCAACCCCGCGTTGGCCTCGCGGTGGCAGTCTGGAGCAGCTTATTCTGGTTAGAATAAGCTGCTCCAGACATTCTAACCTCTAATTTGAGGTTAGAATGTTCTACGCGTCGAACCTTCTACGCCGACCATTCCAGAAGCCCACGCGTGTAGATAAGGGGCTTCGCGTAACGAGCCAAGTCAGTTTCACTTCAGCGTTCGACTCTGCTCTTTCGCCGACTTCGACGCCCGCGACGCTCTGCTGTTATCTTTTGTTTCCTTTTTTTTTATTTTTGGGCACAAGTTCGCCCCCATTAAACGTCTAGTTTCTTCAGTTATCATCGCCTCATCAGTTGTCATTTGTGACGATATATATATTAGTGCCACGTAACCTACACTGTACAAGACTCTATATAGTCTTTTCAATAAATTTAAACGATCGCTTGTGAAATATTGTATTTCGTGCAAAATAGGACTTCAAATACGGGGAGGGCATCACGTGACTTTCTTGATATCCAAACACGAATAGTTTAAGCTATATACTTGCACCCAAGTCGGGTGCACGTGAACTTGTCACATGCGAGTCGGGTGGTTGGTTGCATAGATTGTGTCCGTGTAGCATTGCGCTTGCCTCCGTGCGGTAGGGTTTATGTGAGCGAAGAGAAGGCGAGGTTGCCGAGGCCGAGGCAGCGAGTCCCTGACGGCCCCAAGGAGCAGACGACAGACCACGCAATTCTCTCGTTCCGGCCCGTCCTGCGACCGGAAGGGTTTACCAAACAAAACTCGAGGATCGGGCACGGTGCGCGATGTGTCAGCTGTGAGGGACGGAGGACTGCACTCGCACCAACTGGTTGGTTTAACGAGAGCAGTGCGTAGGCAAGACGGGCGAGACGTGCGAGATCCTGATGGGCAGACGATGGACCACGACGAGAGGACGAGCCGAGCAGCTGAGCAGCTGAGCAGTTTGAGTAAACGAAAGTGTGTGGCGTTTCCAAAACCAAGATGCGACTTTGCAGTGTCAACGGCCGCAGAAGCCTTCCGCGACGGGTTTCGTTCACCGGCACGACGCTGTCGGATAACGTCCTGAAACATTCGCAGTAACGTGAACTTATAAGCGGTTCTCGTAGATTTCCGACAGCCACCTAGCTGCTGAAACGACGAACTTTGGCCCTTTGCAGCAACAGTGAGTGGACTTTATCCAAGTAGAGTTTTGCTCGCTTCAAATCTGATGACTTCGACAGTCGCGCCTGGTGTGCCACCGGATCGCGCTCTTACCGCTGCTCCAGTGGCTTCATCAGCCTGCAGCGTTGGCTCTGCTCGGAACTAAGGTAAAGCCAAGCAAATATTCAGATCTTAGGATTTTATGGAGCCAAATCAACAAAGGTGAGTTGGCAGGCCCCAGCAAAAAACCCCAGGTTCATCTTAAATTGGGTTGATCCAACGTTGCTCAAGATACATATTAATAAAACACCCTAATCAAACTCAGCTGTATGGTTGAATGTTGGTTTCTATGCATACCAAGAGCACCCCCAAGCGTGCGGTGAACTCAATTGTGTGAACGCCACAAAACATATTCCCACGGGCGTGCACAAAAAAAAAAAAAAAGAAAGGGACGTTGTCAAAATTTGCAAGTATATTTAAATTTCTTTCGATGCAATACAAATTTCTCAAGCTGAATGAAGTTACGCACATCGTTAGAACGCTTCTATTCACTTGCGCGGTGGCAACGGAGTGTAAAAAACAACACAATTTCTTGAATTTATTGTTACACGATTAAATAAAAAGCAGTAGAAGCAACCAGCTGCCGCGATCATGAACATAACCACGGTGTAACCATGGTGCCACTCAGTTCGTAGAAGCAACTGTGTACCATTCAATGGTCACGTATGGTTCATGTCTTAAAGGTAAATCGGCGAGGAGGATGAGAAAGAGGCGAGTAGCACGGGAGGATGGCTTGGGAAAGCAACGTGGCTGACGTCATGCCCTCCGCGTGACTTTGAAGGTGAATGTCGCTGCAAATTTTTGTTTACATTGCTAAAGGATATACTACGATTTCTTCTAAATTACGATACGCACGCTGCTCACGGTTTTTTCTATTGCAATTGACATTGATGATGGAATCATACAAAAGGGGCAGTGATATGTTTTCTTATGTGATCAAGATTGCACTTCTTTGCTTGGGATAATTATAACGTAACCATCGCCCTTATTGAACCGGCAGGATCGGCTTGAGATCACTCCTGATGCTGTGGTGCCTGGCAACGTGTTCGAGAGGCCAGAGCGAGGCGGACTTCTACACAACGGTGTCCAGGCTCTCCGACCTCATCGACATCGAGAAACACGTAAAGGCAGACCTCGTCAGATATGTAGAACGCCTAAAAGTTGTTCAAGACAACATAATCAAGTAGGTTCCTCTGTCTCTCTGTGAGAATCAGGCCGCATCCTACGAAAGGATAGTGCAAGGATAGATGGAGGCAGAAGAAGAGTTGAAGAAAGTGAACGCCATATGGTGCGCAGCGAAACTGTTAAAAAAAATTAGTGACATTTTTTGTAAAGTGAGATAAAAGGGTACTAAACCATAGTATCGCGGTATAAAAATATAATATGTGTTTTTTTTTTTAAATATATTTTCCCGAAAGCCAATTACTGAAAACCTACTGTGAATAAACAATATTGTCTATTTTCTTCTCTTCTTTCCCCGAATATATTAGTTTGCGCTATGCCTTACTATTTTATTTCTATCTGCTAGTCGAGCGGGCACTTGCTTGATCACTACTGTTTTTCATAATGTTTTCTTAGTTTACTCATATTGATACTTGAATGGCACGTCGTGATGCTTGTTGATATCAACTAAATAAGAGTTCAATTTTTTTTATTTTTTGTTATGGCAACTTTTGTCACGCACTCACAAACGTGTTCTCGAACTCTCGAATTCGTACTTGTTGTTATCACGTTGGAAGATCGATCCTACAATGCCTTCCAAGAGTAGGCAGACATCCTTGTAAACAAACATCGCAATCTTAGATTTTGATTTTTGCATATCAGGGCTCGCATTTTCAACGGTTCACGCTATAAGCTACCTCTTTTCATTTTCATCTTCACCAGTTTCGTCCAGGACAGGCAGCCCTACGACGACTTGAAGTCACCGTCCGCCGTCTTTGACTACCTCAAGCACCCGGTGCATGCCTTCCACTTGATCAAGAGGATGACCGCTGGTCTTGGGGCCATAGAAGCACAGATCAACAAAACGCGAAAGTGTGGTGGGTCTCGTGTTTTTCTTTTTCAGCAATAATACGAGCATATGACACATGAATAAGTCAAGAGATCAGTTACGGCCCACGTTTTTTCTTGGTGGCTTGCTGTGGTCAAGGAGGTCAAATTGACACTGAATAGATTGCTGTGCAGACCGTTCCACAGTCGCTGATATCCTAAGAAACGCCGGGCGTGTCTTAGAAATAGTGTGCGTGGCCTAAAAGGGCGTGACATAAAACCGCATCCTGAATGTCTGCAGTGCCACGATGAGATGCTCGTCACTGGGCACGACCGATGTTTCTAAAGCTGTCGGTGATTCTAGTGGATTATACGCTGTCTGTGAGGTCACTCATCACAAAGCAGATCCTTCTTAACTGGCTTAGCCTAGCGCCTGGCAAGTAAAAAAGAAAAAACACATTTTATAGTTTTAACGAAACACTAGCTCAACGGCAGCGCACTCCGACTTGGCGCTCAGTGAATACGTTCAAACAAGCTTGTATAGGTAAATGTATGCCTGCGGAATCACCTGATATTGAATTTCAAACGGTTTCAAAATAGCGAAATTGCATTTTGAATCAAGAATTTAGTAACCAAACGCTGTATGATGTCACTGAGCCGAGTTCATGTGAAGATTTTTTTAGCAGTCTGCAACGCAAAAGTCTGCAGATGATTGAAAAACGAGACGTTAATACAGCGTAGTAAAATGCCCAGAATAGAAACGGAAACGCTCAACAACTAGAGTTTTGGGATTATTTAAATGATTCCTTACGCAATCTCATCGCATTACGCCAAGCATAATCAATAATGAAATCTCATGCAGGAGTAATCTAAATGACTTGTTATCTTCGACGTCCTTTAGCATAATCTAAAGGGACTCGTGGCCTAGGCAACTACAGCAATTAAATTTTTATTACTTTGATCTCAATGCTGCAACTCTTGGGGTTTTGCATGTCTGTTAGAACTAACGAAAAATAATTGCAAGTTGTACTATCTGAAACTGCGAGGGGAATTTTTATCACTACCTTGCGTGCACGGGCTAAATATCTAAAACATCTACCAGGCTATCGAGACTATTTCCAGGCCAGATGCTGGTCTTAAATAATATAATGCAATTTAGTCACCCCATAAATATATTTAGTTAATATCCGGCAAGTAGTTACACGTTCAAACCAAATTGTGATAATATGGTTGGAAGTTTGGCAGTACATTAGTACACATGTCTCTGCGAACAATCACAGATCCCCTGATGAACATAAGAGAAATGCGCAAGCAACAGCTGCTTCCACGGAACGAGGACTTCAAGGGGCTTGCGGCATCGCTTGTGAGACTCCAAGACACGTACTCTCTTGACTTACATGAACTTACTAAAGGAAACATGCATACAGAGATTCCGCGCAACCGAACAATTGCTGGGCGTCTTCCACTGAGCGGTACGTAATGCCAATCTTTCAGCATTCACAAAATAAAAGTGTATATAATCTTACCAAGTCATTATCTCAAACTCTATATACACGTTTTGATGCACACTTCGGAAACATTTCTATATCTGATAGCGCGAATTCCCGTCATAACGCAAAGTTAGTTCTAAAGATATGCGATCTTTGAAAATTCTCAAAAATATCATGTAAGCGTTTCAGACGATGAGCAGGTAATACAAATTGTTTTCGATCAAATAAAAGTATTGCAAGCACGTGCGTTGCTTTGCAGCGTCACAAAACAATAAAACATAATTTTTTGCATATTAATACGATTCAGATTGGTCACTGTTTTATTTGCAGCGGACATGGTTTTGCCACAATATTCAGCCAGATTATTAACTATCCTTCAATTAAAGGCTCATGCAGCAGAACCAATAAATTTTTTTTGGTCGAAACCACGCGCCTGCTAGTTTCAAAAGGAGTACGGACGAGTTTTAACTTACTCTTACTATATTTATAGAGTGCGTAAAACATTTTTTCCTTTTAGCCCTGCAGTACATAGGCTATGTTACTCTTCTATTTCCATTGAAGCATGAGGAAATCACTCGTATTTGTGTCTAAATTGATAGCTTTATCTGTTTATGGTTTTACAGCTCTGGACTGCTTGAACATCAGCCAGGTGGCTCTGAACGAGAGTTTCTACGACCGCGCAGTGGAATGGGCCGAGCAGGCGATAACTAAGGCGGCCAACGAAGAACCGCCCACAGTCCCCAAAGAAGAACTGGATGCCCATCTAGAGGCGGCCATCAAACAGGTTCTAAGATCCATCTTTTCGCCATTAAGGGTTGATTCACACACTTGCGAAGCCTTACGTATGAAGAGGCTAAAAACCGGCTTTTACGCTTCTTGCGACTGCCTACGACCGTCTGCGCAGCGGTCGTAAGCAGTCACAAGCAAATTAAAACCTGTTTGTAGCCTAGCTGGTCATAAGCAGTCGCAACTGTGTGAATAAGGCACACTTTCGACTTCTTACGACTAGAGAGGCTACAAACCAGTTTTTCTGTTTTTTTTCGCTGCTTGTGCCAACTTACGACCGTCTGCGCAGCGGTCGTAAGCAGTCGAAAGCGACTTAAAACCGGTTTGTGGTCTCCCTGGAAATAAGCAGTCGCAAGTGTGTGAATAAGGCTCGTTCACACACTTTCGTAAAACTGCGAAACCCTGGCTCAAACGAATTGCAGTTCCAGGGCCTCCTCCTAAATGGCGCCACTATGCAAGTGTGTTTTTTTGTCATAAGATATCGCAAAAGGTCTTAACACACCAGTATGCAAGCAGTCGCAAGTGTGTGAAGCAGCCTTTGAAGATCCCGAGATAAAAGCACTGGTCGATTAAAGTGTAGCGCGAGCAAAGGACCATAAAAAAGACTGCGAAGGATTACTCGCACCGGATTCCAATTCGAGTGAACCCGGTCTTTTTAAGATCCACTAACAAAATAATTTTGGATGTCAGTATTATTACTTTGATGAACGCTGGAAAGTTTTTTGAACCATTAAGAAATTTGCCTTCTACCCGCTGTCATTTTGTCTACTGAGTTTTGGAACGCGTTCTGCATATGGGCAGTACAGCTCTCTTTTACAAAATATGAAACGCCACTCATGCGTCCACACCGCAGTAATAACTCAGCAGTTTCGCCTGGAGATAAGCGCTGGAGAGTCTTATAACCAGTACACCTACCTCCACAGCTATACTTGGTTTCCACTTAAGTCCAGACGCAGCCGACGGTACGAGCTAATCAAAAAGCGTAAAAAACGCGTCAGTAGACCTCCTGCGTACATTATTGATCCAACGATGGTAGAACATGTACATAACCATGAAATGCTACATGATGGTGCGCTTTGACGCTCTCTGACAGATCACGTCAGTGCGTAGCGTCGGCTGCGTCTGTACTTAATATGATACGAAGTATAGAGAGCGTCGATCCAGTAGTATGAAACTGAGTTCACATCGCCGCACTCACGTCCGTTTCAACTCATTCTTTTTACTGTCTTGTTTTTCTACCTCTCTCTTTTCAGCACGATGAAGTACTGAGTACCAAGGGAGCAACAGGTGAGACAGTAGTCTGCAGTTATTTTTTTGCGCGTGTGCCCCAGTTCATCTCCGCTCTCTGTGAAAAAGCCGTGCCTCATGTTTGAGTTTCTCTCTACACTTTTTTTAAAGTTTTTAATCATTTAGAACCTCTGGGGTGTTGACGCATGCACACGGTAGCTGATATCTCGCAGAAGAGAGATACAGTTTATCTTCTAAACGATTCTCCTAGGCCAATGGACAAAGATGGCAGCGCACAAAAAGCGATCATTGGAATGGTCTGTACAGACCCTTCCACTAATAGCTTTCTGCGTGCTGCCGCCTTTGTCAACCGGGCTGTGGAACGGCTTGTGACCATGTGCATTAGTTGTCTTCTGCGTAATATCAGATACCGTGCGTACGTCAACAACGCTGTGATTCGAGATTTTTGGCTGGGTGATACGTGAAGGAACACTATATATTTTGTATCAATAAGGGTGGTGATAGGTGTCCATATACTTTGTCGTTAATAAAAATTAATCCTACAAAAGAAGCATGGTATTACCTTCATTCAATAAGCGCTCAAGTGGCTTCGCTTCTGTCAAATTGAGAGTAAAGTTCCTAGATAAAAGCTTCCTACAAATAGCGACATTTCTTCAAGCGTCGACTGCGTGACGGTGCATGTTTTGGAAAGCGGATGGCGACATATAGCAGAAGACTGAACTGATTGACGCCATTTTGTTTCAGCGGAATGTGCTTTATTTGTATTGGTAGTCATTACTTGTAAAATAATTGTCAATAGACTAACAGCAGTAGCTATTTTTCCCTATTGCGCTTCTTTTTTGTTCGCAATGACCAGAGTAAACTGTAATTTCTGGTTTGTATATTTCATTTATTTGCATATTCTGCTTTACACTTTTCCACTTGACAATTAGGTGTACATAAGAATACTATTGTATTATGTTACCTAATCATAATCTCCATGACTCCTTAATTGGTGTTACTAGTAAGATGGCAAAAAAAAAATCACGCTAATCATTAAATAGCCAATGCTAGCGAGCTATGCTATTACAGGAGTCCAATTTTAGCCTTCACATTTTTCTCTTTTTTTTTACACTTCAATTGCGCCGCTGCATGTCAAAGTGGAGAAGTAAGTACGGAGAAATATTCCCTTTAAAATACTGGCAGTTCATTCCTATCCCGAAGAAAAATTCATGTATTTGGTTCAACTTTTGATTGCGTGTGCAGGATACCTATGGCAGACATACGGAGTGCCCGTGGAAAATCGTACGCATCGTTCCACGGAGTTCAAGACAGAACTCTTCAAGGAGCAGCTGCCGCATGATCAGGAGATGCAGAACTATAAGCGACTTTGTCGCGGAGAAGTGTTGAGGGTAAGGGTCCTCTTCCTCTACAAGATTATTTGCGGGAAACTTAATGGAAATACTGCTGTGTATTTGTATAGAGGGTGTTTTTTTTTAACACTAATGCTGTTTGTGCCGGTCAGTTATACGGCCAGGAGGGGGACATAATATAGGGGGCTTATCGTCCTGATATGTCGAAAAATTAACAAAATTTGTTTATCACCTTTTCAATTTGGAAAAATAAACACATGGTTCCCTTAGTGGCTTGCTGGGCGTCATTGTAAACCACTAAATCATTAGTTTATAGAAAGTCTTTCAGCGTGTGGGAACAGCAGTAGTGCGATAAATTTGCCACTCATGTAGCATGCGCAAAGGAAGGGGCGAAAAAACGTGGAGAGTCTATCGAGAAATCCGCGCGGGCGCTTTACCGCACCCTTGGCCTTGCTCCTGTTGCCCGAGTGGAACTTTAGCTTTCCACCGTGCGTCCCGTGTGCTCGAAGACTTTCTAATATTGATTAATTTTGTGGCTTTCGATGACGCCCAGCAACTTTCTAATCAGAACCATATGGTTATTTTCAACAGTTAAAGCGTTACTTAACGTGTTTTAGTTAATTACTCCAATGATTACTACAATTAGTCCCCCCCCCCCCAATACTATGTCCCCATTGAAATAAAACTCGCCTGCACAAACCACAATAATGTGCCTTTCGCGGCTCTTTTTAAAGAAACCTACTAGGCTAAAAAAGAAACACCCTGTATAGACTCATGCCGTGCGCGTGCGCTGGCTGTCTTCTAGCTAGCACCGTGTTCCAGTTCACGGATGAGTGAGGGGTTTAGCCTCACTAGCTGCGATTAGCTACGGAGTACACAGTAAAAATACTTGGACTGGCTACTTTCCCTCTGAGCACTCGGGGAAAAGTTGCAAGAATTTATACCATGATCACCCAAAGCGCACACTGTTCTTAACTAAACTATCTGGAGAACAGATAGTTTAGTTCTTAACTAAACTATCAGATTTTCTCCAGATAGTTTAGAGAATTTTAGCTGAGTTTTGTGATTGGCGGTGTCCTTCAAAAAGATGTGCTTTTTTTTTTTTTTTTGGAGTGTCGTCTTTTTTGTACAAGGTTTATTTGTGCCAACCAAAGATTGAATGCCACGCCCAAAAAGCACGCACCTCACCCAGAGATTTCACGTGTCACGAATTGCGTTGACGTTTAGTGTTGAAACACGCTTCACATTTCTGTTCAAAGTCGTCAGCATCCATACTTATTGTGTCGTTAAAAAAATCCGTTCACCTTGAAAGACGAGATTCTTGGTAAGAATAAAAAGATTACCGCGAAAAAAGAGGTCAGCGAACTAGGCGGTAATTAAGAAACCAAAGAAAAGTAAAGAGGAATGAAAGCACAGACATGATGGAGACAGTCTCTTCGACAAGGAGACATTCCTAAAAGCAGTGAGTGAGATAAAAGTATTCAGAGAGAGAAGCAAAATTACCTTTAGAGACTCTAGGACAACTATCACGCCAGGTTAGTAGCAAAGAACAATTGCTGCTGAGTCCACGAAATCTTGAAATCAATTGCTTTAGTCACGCGTATGGCAGAATCAAACGCATTCGAACTGCTGGTTTAAATCGTTGCCGTGTTTGTCTCTTTTGTTATTTATAATAGTCGTATGGAGCAGTCAGTGAAGTTTAAATCATTGGTAGTTGATGTCCTGAAAACATGTGGGGAGTCTGTTTTAGGCACAAGATTTATGCAACGAAACCCCAGTATGGCGCTACATTTTTGGGACTCAACTTAGTGAAGGGTCTGGAGATTACGATTCCTGCACTCCATTCACTGCTAAGTTAACACAGAGACGAAAGCTACGTGCTCATTAGACCAGTCGACAGCGTCAGTCCTGCAACAACGTGATCGCGATCTCTGAGCATGCCCGCGCAAAGAAATCAGAGTTATTCAGTAGAGCAAGGGTACTTACTAGATTTGTACGGTCATAACGCAGTTTCCACACTCCCGTCAGCTTGGCGGCAAACCGAGAATAGAAAGCGCTGAAAAGTCCCGCAAATGTGGCGTGCGTAGCGTTGCAACTATCGATGCATTCTCCAGTGCGTTGTTACTTCATTATTGGGAAACTGCTGGCAGGTCGATTCTTTTTAGGTCATTGTCAATATCGTCTGAAAAAGCCAGTTATCCTAGGATTGTTCAGATGTTGTTTTAAGAACATTCTACGATCAACGTCGTATTACTGATAATCTGTTCTGAAAATCTCAAGCGACACGTCTAAGAGCTAGAGTGCACGTGCTGGTTATTATATACTTATTTACTTATAACAGTTGTCGCCTCGAAACAAAGAAAAGAAAAATGATCATACCCGAAGGGTGCCATTAAACGGAAGTTCCTAGTTCGGATGTCCGGCACAGTCATAATCCTGTCACTGCTTACAAGAAAAAAAAAGGAGAAAAAATATCATGTTTCATTAACAGACGCCAAAGATGGACAGCAAGCTTAGGTGTCGCTACTACAAAGGACATGGTGGCTCCTTTACACTACACCCAATAAAGCTCGAAGAAGTCAACCTTAAGCCTTACATCGTCGTGATGCACGACGTCGTTCAAGAGAGAGACATCGATGACCTAATGGCCTTTGCTGAGCCGCGGGTGAGTAAGACTTCGACTGCACTCTAAAAAAAGCCCGTGAGTCTGCTTTCCCGCACGACACTCGGAGAGCCAATCACCGCAACTTACGGAGTCAGCTCAGCGAATGACAATGCCGAAACATATGTTTAGACCAACAAACGCAGTCTGAGTTGTGACATTAAGCAACGCAAGCATGACGTTTTGCATTGCTTAATGTCACAACTCAGACTGCGTTTTTACATTTACAATTACATGTATAAGTATATTCAATTAGATTACTTAATCACTTAAAAAAAGAAGTAATTTACAGTTACTTGAAAAGTTGTCAGTTACTTTCTGATTACTTCAGATCTTCAAAACGACACATTTTTCTTCGAGTTCCAAAACGGTTCTTTCGTAGTGTCCACTATTGCATTATAATAACCAAACAAATTATCTTTTTAATCAACCAATTTTGGCAAACCACCTTCCTGCCGGAGGCTTGATTTAAGATTCTTTGGTAGAAATTTTGTAGCAACAAAAAAGGCGCTATTAGACAGGGCGCAGGCGAAAATAACGGTCACAAATTAGTCTAGCCTCTTGAAAAGTAATCGCAATTCTTGTGAGATTACTTAGTAAATATTTGTTCAAATAAATACAAAAGTACTCCAAAAAGTTCTGATTTATACTATAAGTCGCCGTGAAAACGACACGAATCAGCTTTTGCAGGCCCCGCACTTCGCTTGACAACTGATTTACAGCAAGGTAAAACAAACAAAAAAAATCATAATCGGTTTAAAAAAAATTAATCAGATTTATTTTATTTATTTTATATTGATTTGATTTCAATAAGCTTTTTATTTACGTCACATATATTTTAATTATATCAGGCTTATTTAACTTTGATTAGTTTTATTGAAATAACTCTAGCTCCAAATAGTGATTCTTTGCGAGTAGATGTCTTTTAAACGTGTCAGAATGATTGATCAGTCCGTTCAGTGGCTGAAAACAACGTGGAAGGATGACTATAAATATAACAGTAGAATAAACAACTTCTTATTGAGGCAAACCCAGCAAGACAAGATGAAAATCTGCTTTACGTTTTGGCTAATGAGAAAGGCTGCATTTGCATTTTATTTCGCGTTCTTTTTTGCGTGCGATATGACATTACTTTTCATTCTTGTTTTCACGTTTATTTTTATGTCACGTTCTGGTTTGGTTTCATTACGTGACCGACAGACAAAGAGGAAGGTAGCAGGGAACTTTAAACCTCTGATTTGCTCAGAAGTGTATATCACTATTTGCTTGTGTTCAGCTAATGTAAATCTTCCTTGCTCCATATTTTTTTTAAATTTAATTTAAATACAAATGTGCATTAAATGCGTCATATTATGCACGAACGGTTTTTATAAAGACATGCCTTAAGGTCATCTTCAGGAAATTTTTATTTTATTTAAATCATCATAGCAAAGCCGGTGTGGTTTTGAATTAAATTATAGTCACGATCCAAGTTACGATTTAAATCATCTTGATTCGTATTCTACACCCTGGGTCACCGCCTCTTTACCTAAGTATTTCGCGCAATACGACTTGATCTGATACATAGGTCAAACGGAATTCACCACAAAGTGCAACTCACTAAACGGCATACAGTAGAATGATTTCACATATGAAGAAAAAAAGAACCACGGCATGCAATGGGGTTGCCGAATGCAATGCCTGTAGTCTGAAAAATTACTGACAATTCCATTTACCATTCGCGTGCCGTGTTGGTCTCCTAAGTAAACTCGGTAAAACAAGTCTCAAAAATATATGATCATAAAAAAAAACTCTTAGGGGCTCCTCGGCTGGTCTATATTTTGCACCCTAAAAACTTTCTTAAGCACTCGCTAAAAGTGTTCCTTATGGAAAAAAAACATAAGGGTTTTTTTAAGCTCCTATTTTGATGGGAAGGAGTTCGTCATCTCCCAGTGGCCTCTCTAGTGCGCCAGGGGGCGATAGTGCTTGAGGCGAAACCGTCTTCACGAGCTTTAAGAGTTTTCGGGGCGTCAAAATATCCTTCAAAAACAAAATGTTTTTGTTTTTAGAGTGTAAATTATGCAGTGCGCTTTAAGACTCGTTTCAGACGGAACGATTTTCCCATAAATTTCGAGGTTGCTGGCGAGTTTTTGTCTGTAATTCCCTAGATCATCGCGCCGCAACACGAATTGCTGGAATCCAGTCCGACTCGAAACGGCCGAGCAACACCAACAACTCGGGGACTTTTGAAGCGGGAGGAGCCAATCAGAAAATTAGTATTTTCACGTGATGGCACTTGTGGTGGTGATAATAATAGCCAGACAGGGGTGTTTGACTCAGTTATGTTTTTAAATTTAACGTTTCCACGACTAAATGGTTTCAGGGAGATGAAATAGTGTTGTTGACGCTATCAAATAATATAAAAAACAGGTTATTAACGTGTAACATTGAGTCCATACCTGAAAAAAATTGTAAGCAGTGATAGAGCGCAGGCGAGCTGGTAATGAACCGACACCTTGTAGACTTTGAGATGGGGAAGAATAAAGAAATGAACGAAGACAAAAAAATCATGACAGGGGGAAAGGAAGGGACGAACACAACGAAGTAAATGTAAGGGCGCAAACGTGCTTTATTTTTCTTGGAGCTTATGTTATGTACCAAGAAGTCTAAAGTTGAGACTTCGTTTTGTTTGTCCCTTCCTTTCCCCCGCCTCGATATTTTTTTTTTAAGAATGAACGTTCACCAGACAGCCTGCACTATAGCCCTTATTTCTGGAACTTTGTGTGTATGTAGTGCAATAATGAAACATCTTAAGGGCGACGATAATAAAACACAACGATTCGTGTTTTAGAAGTTTCTGCGATACCCAAACACTGTAGGCGAAAAAAATTACCAAGTTTAGGGCATCATTGTCCGTAGGTACATGTTTGGATATTTATTCGAAACTCGTCTTGAACAACAATAATCATATCTTCAGACGACACTCACCTAGGCTATATATAGATCATTCTTAAAAAGTTTAACATCTCTACCATAAATAGCTTCGGCTATAGCGCGCTTTAAATATGGCACAAATGACAATTGTCAGAAACCCGTCGTCCTTCCTCGCTCCTTCGGGAATCTATTTTTCTAAAACCAAGCATGCCAGATGATTGAAATGAAGGGCATCGTCTTTCGCAGGGAATGCGTCACCCCATGTAAAATTGCGAAAAAAAATTACGAAAGTACCTCACTGCTTGAATCCAAATGAAACCGCCCGCCGGTCTTTCGAAGTTCGACGAGCTTCGAATTTTTACCCTAAATGTTCGAAGTTCGTCGAACTTCAGACTTTTCAGGAATCGAAAGTTCGACAATTTTCGAATTCTTTAAATAATAAGTTCGAGAGTTCGAAAATTATCGAATTTCTTAGCGTAGGAAGTTCAAAAGTCGAAAAGCTTCGAACTTTTTAGTGCAAGAAGGTCGAAAGTTCGAAATCATCTAATTGTTTAGTCTATCAAGGTCGAAAGTTCGACAAGCATCGAATTTTGCAGCGTAATAAGTTCTAAAATTCGAAAAGCGTCCAACTTCTTAGTTTATTAAGTTCGAAAATTCGACTTCCGTCGAATTTCTTAATATGGAAAGTTCGAAAATTCGAAATCTTTCGAACCTTTCGAACCGCTTGATTCGGTCATCGAAACTTCAATTCGAAAAAAGTTCGCGGCATCCCTAACTGAAACTAGACTTACTGGTCTAATTACAAACTTGCTCAGCGGCATCAAAAACTACTAGATCAGTAAATACTAGAAAGACTTGGAGGTTGTGGGAACCACGGTGGAGCGCCAAAGTTGAGGAGGCGCGTGAAAACAGAAATGTGTACCCGTTAGTTGCGTTACCGGCGCGAGGGAATATCTTGAGAATTAGAAAGGCGAGGTGAAAAAAATGATTTCATGGTTTATTTCGGTATTACCTTGTACAGTTGTTTTGTTTCCTTTATTCCGTTTTTTTTTTTTTCATTACAGCTGGAAACGTCTCTAACGTACGATGTGCCCGGAGTGGAATCGCCCGCAGTGCGTACCAGCTCAAAGTAAAAGTGGATAATTCTTACCTGTCGCCTAATAACAATGCTTAATATTATATTTATTATTACACATACCATATTTTCCGGACTGTAGTCCACGCCCTGTGCATAGTGGGAACTTAGTGCCTAACTTGAGCGTAAATATCATCACACACGGCATACCTTGACAAACGCCTACTGTGTTAGCAGAAAAAGTAGCTTGTATCGTACATGAATCAAGATTAGCATACTCTGGGATTCATAAACTCCTTTCCGTTTTATCACAGTGACCGATCTAGAAGAAAGCAAATCCTTGAATAGTCCGCACCTGTAAACAGTCCGCATAGGGTAAACTTTCGTCTTTTAGGCGTGTGCAGTCCGCAGACTATGCAGTCCGGAAAACACTGTAATATGTATTTCGGTTGCCGCCACACAAGCCTCTCACTGGATTTTGATGAGCCTCCATATTTATGCTAGTGACTTGGGAGTTTTTAGTAAACCATTGCCATGTTCCGCACTTTACCGGAGCCTTTCAAGCATGCTTTTAAGCGCGCCCCGTGGTAACTTTTTAAGGCTCCGATAGTTCGGTACGCGGAACACGAAAACGGTTCACTATAAGTCCCTATTGGACGCTTAAGAAATGCAGGACGTAGCGAGAGCCGACCAGTATTATTGCCGAACTTAAGACCAATAAGAATGCCGCATTTGCAAATAAGAAAAAAAATAAAAGATCACAAAGAAGTGTAATAGTCTTAAGCCACCCCTCCTGACCTCATTCAGTCAGTTACCATGCGTCGAGAAACTGAGTGAGGTTCCAACTAATGTAACTTGCGCATTTAACGTTTTCAAAACATTTTTTTTGTTGTTTTTTTTTTGTTTATGACATCAGTGCTTGGATGGACGACAAGGATGCACCTGTCGCAACCAAATTGAACAAGTTTCTGCGGTCTCTTTTGGGTCTGGGAACATCTGACAACGATGGCGAAGCGGAAAAGTACCAGGTCGGAATTTCTGCATTTCTTCATTTTTCCACAATGACTATACATGAATGCACCGCCGAGGACAAAACGACCTGCAACGATCAATTCGGCCTTTCTCTGCGTCCGCAATCCTTTCGAGTCTCAAATATCTTTAGATTTGCCACAAGGTTTAAAGAATAGAACCTCTAGTCACTGACGTGCCAAGGAAAGCAGGGTGTGAATTCATACCTTCACGCTCTTTGCTTCCTCATAGGTCCTTCGGCTTCGTTATTCCTAAATGTCACAACCTCATTGGCTGCCAATCAATAATGATGATATCTAGGACTGGATATGCCCCGCCCTCAATCTATGAAGTTGTCAATGACCGTCAGTGTTGGGAGTAGGGTGTTCGAAAGCGATGTCCTGCGGTTCTCACCTTCTCAGTATAGACAGGGTGTCCCATTACAAATGTACCGCTTTTTTTTGTTTCACAGTTAAAATTATTGACTTATTGCCGAACGCTCATTCTTCGCCTAATTGTAGCACTAGTTGTGCAAAACAGATGCCAATGTATCAAAACTAAAGCTATTGTATTCAAAAGTTTTTGGCGATTTTGTTAAATTTTCAATGGGATAATGCGTGCTTTCCACGCAGCTCTCGTATACACGGAGCTCAATAGCGCAAAACGGTAGAAAACTGACCCAATGTTTTCATTGAACATCTAAAAAAATCACATATAACTAGGGCTGGGCAATCGATCGATTAACCTGCCGATTAATCGAGTAATACTTTATTCGTGATTAATTTTTCTTTTAACCGGTTAGTCGGTAAACGTTAGACGAGGAGGAGGAGGAGGAAACTTTATTATTCTTCCGGGATCAGGTATTCGGGGGTGGTGGAGGCCCAGAGGGCCGCCGCGACCGCCAGGGCCCGGGAGGTGGTCAGGACTTGGGCTGACTCCTCCGGGTCGCGCAACATCTGCTGCCAGAGGTGAGGAGAGGGAAGAGGGGGGTGTGGGTCTGCGGGGCATTCGCAAAGGGAATGGTAATGGGTGTCGAATGCCCCGCAGGCAGGACAGGCGTGGGTGGTAAAGAGGTGTGGGTGAGTGTGTATTAGTTGTGTTCGGCGGGGGAAAGTGTGTGTTTGTAAGAGGCCCAGCGTGTGTGCTGCTCTTGGGAGAGGTGGGGGTGCGGAGGTGGGTATTGGCGGCGGAGGAGGCGGTAGTGTAGGGTAATATCCCTGTATTGCAGGAGGGAGGTAGGCTTGCCTGCAGGGGCATCGCGTGTAGGCGCAGTTGAAACGGCGGCTCGGTCGGTAAGTTCGCGAGCACGATCGTGCACCATCTCATAGCCCACACAGGCCTACGCCTGTGTGGGCTGGTGTCCACAGCAGGGTCACGGTGTCGGATGGAGGGTTGTTGGTGAGAATTTGGAAGGCCATAGGGGAGATATTGCCGCGAATAAAATTGCGGATGGCCTGCTGAGAATCACATAGGACGAATTGGGGGGTGGGGCTCTGGGCGAGCGCAAGGGCAATAGCCGCTTCCTCCGCCGTGGTTGTGTTTGTAGTTAGGATGGTGGCCGCCGTGACGTTTGGTGGTGGATGTTGGCCGGGAACACTTACAGTGTGCAGGTTTGTGAGGGTAGGGTGTGGCATCAGTGTATAGTGTGCATGGTGATGGTGGGTATAGTTTGGCGTGGATGTTGGCTCGTGCTAGTCGCCGGGCTTTATGGAAAGTTGGGTGCATGTGGCGAGGGATTGGGTGAACTCGAATGCGGTTACGTATGTGCGGTGGAATGGGGAGTGGGGGGATTGGGATAGTGGGGGGGAGTATGTTTATAGTGTTAAGAATGTAGTGCCCTGTGGGTGAGGATGCGAGGCGGGTGAGTTGGGACATGTGGTGGGCGTCTAGGTGTTCGCGTATTGTGTTGTGTATGCCGAGGTCGAGCAGGCGGTGCGTTGGGGCGTGAGGGGGGAGTAGGAGAGCATGTTTATATGTCTTCTTGAGGAGCGCATCAAGGGAGTCGAGTTGGGTGGGTGTAAGGTTAAGGTAGGGTAGCTGGTATAGGATACGGTTGAGTAGGAAACTGTAAACGAGTCGGAGGCGGTCTTGTTCCTTGATGCCGTGGTGTTTAGTGGCAATCCTTCTAATGAGGTGTGAGGTTTGGGTAACACATTTCTTTACGTATTGGAGCGTGGGTGCGGGTGATCTGTTGTGTGTGAAGGTGAGGCCTAAAAGTCGAACTTGTTGTGTGTGTGGTATTGGGTCAGAGTGTATAAAAAGTTGGATGGGGGGGTTTTGGAGGGGTTTGTGACGAGGCGGCGTAAAGGTGAGGAGAGCGGATTTGTGTGGGGAGCATTAAAGCTCCAAAGGTTCGATGTGATGTAGGACTTGGTTGAGGCCGTGTTGAAGTGTTGCTTCAATGTGTTGGTCGGAGCCAGAGTGGACCCAAAGGGCAATGTCATCTGCGTACAGTGTGCTGCGTAGTGTGGGGATAGTGAGGAGAGTACGGGCAAGTGGGATTAGGGTGAGGTTAAAGAGCATGGGCGAGAGGACCGCTCCTTGTGGCGTTCCGCGGTCTGGCATGTGGAAAGAATCAGACTGGACATGGCCCAAACGGGTAGTAGCGGTACGTTTTGCGAGAAAGTTATAGGTATAGTGGTAGAAGTGTAGGCCTAGGTTTTGGGATGAGATTGCCTGAAGGATGCTATGGTGTGAGATATTGTCAAAGGCTTTTTGGAGGTCTAGTGAGAGTATAGAGGTGTGATCTCGTTGCGGGGGGTGTTGGTGGAAATCATGATGATACTGTATAAGGGCGTCTTGCGTGGATAAGTTGGGTTGAAAGCCGATCATATTAGTTGGGTAGGTTTGTGTGTATTCAAGGTGCGCATTGACGCGATTCTGCAGGACGTGTTCAAGAAGTTTGCCGAGACAGGATGTGAGTGAGATGGGGTGAAGGTTGTGTATGGAGGGTGTTTTTCCAGGTTTGGGGATAAGAGTGATGTCAGAGTGTTTCCAGGTGGAGGGAAGGGTGTGGTGAAGCCAATGTTGGTTGAAGAGCTGTACAAGGTGTTCTAGGACCTCCTCATTGAGGTGACGTAAAAGGGTGTTTGTGATGTTGTCATGTCCTGGTGTGGTGTTGCGTTTGAGGGCTTGCACCGCCGCTTGTAGTTCTGCAAAGGTGATGGGGGCGTCGAGCTGTGGGTTGGGGTTGCCAGTGTATTGTGGAGGACCAACAGGGTGTGATGGTGGAGTTGGGATGTATATGGAGCAGAGGGTGTCGCATAGGGCGGTGGGTGAGAGCTGAGTTTCCGCTATAATTTGTGTGGTTTGGTGGCGAGATTGCGTCTTAGTAGTGCGCGGGTCGAGTAGGGCACGGAGGATGTGCCAAACCTTCTTAGTGGAGGGTTCACCTCGCATTTCGTCGCAAATATTGTTCCAGTTGTTCCTGGCTAATGTGAGTGCGTGCGTCTCGATCTTAGTGCGGAGAGTTTGTAGTGTGAGGCGAAGGTTGCGTCGGTGTTTATGTTTCCGCCAGCGCTGCTCTAGGCTGGTGTAGGCCTCCCAGAGGTTACGGAGGTGGGAATCTACATATTCCGCTGGGGGAGGAGGGTCGATAGTTTTGGTTGCAATCTGTTTAGCTGAGAGAAGGTGGGTCGTCTATTGTTCTAGGTCGGAATCACAGGTGGTGGTGGGTGGGAGTGGGCATTCGGTACGGAATAGATCCCAATCTGTGTGTGTTGGTGGTGGAAGTAGGGGGCTTGTGGAGATGCCTTTGAGGGTAAGACACGTGCTGATGATGTAGTGATCGCTGCCAAGTGTGTATGGTGTTGTGGATGTGTGAAGAGTGAGTCGTCCGGTGTTAAAGGTGAGGTCGGGAGTGGTATCGCGCTGGGCACTGTTGCCAGTGCGTGTGGGAGAGGAAGGGTCGGTGTGAAGGGTGAGGTTCAGGGAATGGGTGAGTTCAGAGAGTAGCCGACCTTTGCGAGTGGTATAAGAGTAGCCCCACTCTATGTTAGGGGCGTTGAAGTCACCTACAATTAGGAGAGGGTCACGTTTAGTGAAAGCGAGTGCCTGCTGGAAGATGTATTTGAAGGATATGTGTTTGGATTTAGGGGGGGCTATAGATATTAAGAACATGCAGGCGTGTGACCGGGGATTTGGGAAGGTGGAGTGTGGTGAGTATATGCGGGATCGGTGAGGCGAAAGTCACGTGCTGGGTGGCAATATTGCGATGTACAAGGGTGGCTATCTGGGGGAAATCCGATGGGGAGTGAGATGCATAGTCTTTGAGCTTGGGTGAGTGGTATGTTTCCTGTAGTGCTATGAGGATGGGGGGGTTGGGTATGGATGCAATGTGTGCTTGGAGGTTGGCTCTTTTAGTTCGAAAACCGCGGCAGTTCCATTGCCAGATGTATTGTGGGTTAGAGGTCCGGGTCATTTTTGTGGGTTATAGGTAGGGGTGTGGTAGCTGGGGCGGCAAGGTGCATCCATTGTAGGACTTCTTGATGTAGGAAATGTACCGATTCCTGGATTGCATTGATTTGAGCAGAGGTGTGTTGGCGGTGGTTATCGAAAGCCGTTTCTATTTCGGCGCGTAGGGTGGCTATTTCTGCGTTGCCTGAGAATGTGGGGAGAGGGTCAGTAATGGGGGGCAGTGCCCGTTTCTTATTCGGGGGGGGGGGGGGGGGGGGAGGTGGTTAGCTGATCAGGTGACGGGGCTGGAGGGTTGTGGGAGGTTTGGAGTTGCTGTTTAAGGATACGGTTTTCCGCTTGTAGACGCTCATTGTCTGCGCGAAGGAGGGTGATAGAGTTACGCAATTGCTGCATTTCCTGGCGCATTTGGCGCATTTCGTTTTGCCATGTGGAGGGCGGGGCTGGGGGTGGGTGAATTGGGGGATTTGGGAGCAGAGCTGCGCGCACCTGGCCCTGAGCGGCTTGGCTGTAGGTGAGTCCGGGTGTGGTGAAGGTCGTGGTGTTGCGGTCAGGTCCGGTCTCGGGGGTAAAGGGGGTATGTTGGGTAGGGTTTTTGGTAGGGTGCGGCGAGGCTGGAAGCGTTTAGGGCATCCCGCTGCACCTGTGAGGTGATCTTGTCCACAGAGGATGCAGCGAGGCTGGCATGGGTGATTTGGTGTGGGGCCCGGTGTACCACAAATTGTACAGTGGGGCTTCAGTGAGGGTTTGGGGCAGACGTCTCACCTGTGGCCAGCTGACCAACAGGCCATGCATGCTTCGGTTTTTCTCTGGTAGGGGTAGCAACGAAGAATAACCGCACGGTACCGCACCCAGAAGGGTACATGCGGCCCCAAAAAGAGGACTTGCACGATGCCCGTGTCTTTGATGCGACGGGCGTCGAGGACTGTTATGGTGGGGTTATGATGCGTGAGGTTTCCATGATTAGTGGTTCGGAGTCTTCAGCTGGGATCTGGAATATTGCTCCTAGCGTGGTGGTGCTGGGTGGGGGTATGTGGCTTTGGACGGGGTAGTGGGTAGCGTTCCAAGGGATTGCATTGAGGTCCATGTATTGTTGGGCTTTGCGTTCATCGGGGGTACTTACTACGATGAAGTTTGAACGGATGTTTATGCGTACTTGGTCTTGAGAAAAGTCTGTTATCTTGGCTTGGTGGAAGATGCAGTCGGCTAGCTGGGCTGCATTAGTTGTGCTGAGGTCCAAACCGCCCTGAGGACGAATGACAACCTAGAAGTCATCAGGGGGGAGCGGGTCTTCTGGCGGGGTGGTAGGTTTCTTGCGATGTTGTCGGCGTTTTTGTTGGGACTTGGTGGGTTCAGCAGCGGGTGTGGTGGTGGCTGGAGTAGCGGTTGTTGCTGCGATGCGGGAGCGAATTGTCTTCCATCCAGGTTCACGTAGGATGTCGGGATCGCTTTCGTCCCCTTCAAACATGTATTCGACACGCTTTGGCGTGATTAGAATGGTGGTGTTAGTCGGAGAAGTTGGGAGCTGCTGCGGCAACGAGTTGGTGGTAGGCGGCGGCGGAGAGTTTGAAGTTCCCGCGTCGGCAGCTGGTTGGGAGGCGCTCATGTCGGTGCGTCGAGTGGAGCGAACCGCACGTACGCAGGTGGTTGCTGCCTCTGTCGCTAAGGGCTGACGTCGAGCCGGCGGCCGCCTCGCCAAGCGAAGGCGACGTTAGGCTTAGCGAGGAGCGCCGGCGTGGCTGGTCATAATTCGGTGGTGATTCACGTACCCGGTATCGATGGGCGAAGATGTTGGCACCGATGTGGTGCCAACAGCTTCGGTGCCAACATCACGGTGACGTTAGGAACACTTTGGTATCAATTCGACTGGTGTGGTTGCGATGATACAAAGCTATAACCAGGTGGAAGCGGAGCCCATGCGGAGCACGTCCAGCCGGTGCGCGAATCCTTTTTTTTTCTCAACGTTAGACGAACTAAGAAGAAAGGAAAAAGTTACTCGCTTTCACCACGCAGTCGTGGAAAAAGCACACCAGTATGAAGGGAAAACTCGAGGGCACAGTTTAGCCTAAAATAAACTGTAGGGGCAAGATTTATAACCCCTGACAGGGTGCAGAAGGTAAAACGTGTCCAGGCCTCTCGAACGGCGTCCCGGTATTTGTATAGTGCAACAGAGACCATTGTAAACACTCTTTCGCTCTTTCTGGAGAATATAAGCGAACCTCTTCGCCCCCGGCAAATGAAGTAATCATTTTGAGTGTGGATGTCAGTCGACTGTGCCTAAGTACACATCGAGGTTGATTCATAATCACGGTTGTATATTTCGCTGTTTATCACATATTCCGGAAAGGCAAAAAAAATCATACTTATTTTGATTTCTAAAAAAATAATATGCATGGAAATGAACGCATGCGATTAATCGAATAATTAATTTATTCGATTAAAGGTTGTCAATAAATCGGCTTAAAAGTTTTAGTCGACGCCCAGCCCTAAGTTAAAAGTTATAGCTTTTGATTAAGATAACGCCTAGTTCTGATACTTTGGCTTCTTGTTCGGACCACTAGTTACATTTGTGTGTAAACTGCTTTTTCGGTAAAAAAAAAAAAAAAAAAACACCCGGTGAATTTTATTTTTATTTTGGGAGATACCCTCTAGTTGGCACCGAAGCATACAAATAGTTGATCCGTTTTGCTTTCACCTGCGACAAGCAATCTCCTCATGGCATTCATATTTGTGACACTCGTCGCTTGTGGCACTCGTCACAAGCGCACAATGACGCTTGTGGAGGTCTTTAAGAAGCGTGAATTGTAAAATGTATGGAGGAACCAGAGGTGCAGGTGTGTGCACGTGGCACCACCGGGAAACATTTTACTAAAATGGTTCGTCGACGGACCATTTCGGTAAAACTGGTTCCCGGTGGTGGCATGTGAAATGGTCCGTAGACGGACCATTTCGACGCACTGAGTTTTCCGTTGTTCCTAATTTGCGACTGCATGGTGTCGATTGCAGCTGGCTAACTACGGGACTGGAGGGCATTTCCTGACGCACCCTGATTACCTTGGCGATTTGTTCGACAACGCCACCGATGTGAGTATTTCGATTCCCCTTACTGTCACGTTGCTGCCTAGGCTGACTAAGGCAAATCATTTATTACAACATAGGCAGGAGAAAAATAAAAGATAGTATATTACACTGACCAACAATTAAAAAGGCGCGTGACGTAGCGTAATATTTTCGCGCGTTTTGCTTTGTTATTCTATCTTCGGCAAATCACACGGATACTTTTTTTTTATTTTTATCGTTTTAATTTTTTATCTTTCAGCGTGGAGTTTTGATACGGGTGCCTTCAAAAGACTCTCCTACCTATATTTTTTTTTTTTTTTTTTTTTTACCAATATGTTTTGTTTTTGCTTTCGGAAGGGTCGTCTTCAAAAGCGCTTCCTGTCTGCAGGCGATGTATTGTCGGCTCAGATATCACAATAGCTCTGTGATACTGTGATATCTGAAAAGATATCACAGTATCACAGTACAAACTAGTTCTTTTGAAACTACGCCTTCTAACGTCAGGGCTGAAAATAGAGCACATTTGCGTCTTTAAAAAACAGACACTTCGCAGGCTCCCAAGAAAAAAAAAACTTTATTGGCTTTGACGCAAAACGCCAACCTATAGATCTACAGGTGACGGCTACAGGTGACGGGTTTGAATCACTGCAGAGGTTCCCGCAATATGACGGAGAAGTTTGCGAATAAGCGTCGCGCAGGTCGAAAGTTGTCCAGGTTGTCGAAATTAATCTTCACTCCTCCGCTGGGGCGTACGAAATGTCCGTCGTTCGTTTGGCACGTAACACACGTAAATTTCATTTGGCGAGATAATCCATCGAGTTGAAAAGCTTACCTATTAGAATAGACTTAATCCCAAGGAGTTCGCCTTGGTGGCCACGCACATTTGAGGATTTCTCGCGTCGGCTGGGAAAAAGGTGCATCCACGAAGGCGTGGTTTTTATATGCAGTGATGTTTTTCCTTCTGTGGAAGTTGTTGCGATGTTGGCGTGAAAGGAGTGTCCTTGCGGGGGTTCGCCAGTTGTACATGTATAATACAACATCTCCCTTAAAACAAATAGTGATTTTTTCACCGCAAAGTTGAACTACGTGCCGCCAAACGCTCAATCTCTGCCAAAATATAGCTATATCTTAAAAAAGAAAAGAAAAACTCTTGTCGGAAAATATGTTTAGGGGTTCTTCGGCTTTTCCATGTTTTGAACCATAAAAAGGTATTCTAAGCACCCTCAAACATGGTCTTTCACTAAAAAACATATACGAGGCTTCTTAAGCTATTTTTTTCCTGTGAAAAAGATTTTTTGACGTCCAGCTGCCTTTCTATTACGCCAGGCGGCGATAGCGCTTGAGGCGAAATCGTTCTTCATGAGCTGAGCGAGTTCTTGGGGCGTCGAAGAACCTCTCAAGTACGGATTATTTTCAAAGTGTAGAGGTCCAAACCATGCATGCCAAAGTTTCCCAACTAACAGCAAGCTCAATCAAAAGATATAGGTGATTTTTTCGAAATGCCGTTGGGAAAATGGGTTTTGTTTTCGTACGTTTTCGGTAACTGGCGCTATTCAGCTCCATGTATTTGAGAAGTCCGTCCGCCATTATTTTCCCAATGAAAATTTCAAAAATCGTTTAAAACGTTTTTTTTAAGATTAGGATTCACTCTGAAACCTTGGGGTCTGTTTTGACTCGCTACAGCTACATTTGGGGCGGAGAACGAGCGCTATGTGATGCGTAGTTTAGGTTTGCAGTAAAAAAAAATATTTTTAATATATTTTTTTTTATTGGGGAGGGGGAATCATTTATATTTACGGTTCGGATTTCCGCTTTCTATTTTAGTTAAAATTATATCACCGCGGGCACCAGGCTAAAGTGTTCCCAAATAGCTGGGTCCTTAAAGAGAGCTCAGACATATCTACTCTGTCCTTTGCTCTTGATGTCCGCAAGCGATTTGTGCTCGAATTAATTTTGCAGCGAATTCTCATTTTGTTCTCAACCAAAGTACACGCGGATACCTTTTCTCGAACACTTTTTTTCTTCTTTTTCTTCTTAAGGGCTTTGTGTCATTATTTCTTTCATTTCAAATTAATTTTATTGTCTCAGGAAAAGGAGTCAGCAGAAAAAGCTACATCGTAAAGCTTGACAAGTGTCTGCCCCCTATACAACAGTTTTTTTTGTGACCATGAATATTATTCATAGCCAAAAAAAGAAAATCAGGAAAAAAATGCACCTCTATAAAAGTTCACGGCATACCGTTCACTATATATGTATCCGCAATAGAGGTTCACAGTGACCAGGGCTTTTTGTGTTTTTTTTTTTCCTAAAAAAGTATTCTTAATGGGGAGCTGACCTCTCCTTATATTCAGAAAGATATGTTTTCCCTTTCGGTCCAAAATTGACGGGCAACGAAAACAAGAACGATTATTTAGAACTACCTTGCCTGTTCACTTTCTATTAGTGAAAGCATGAAATAGCAGAAAAACTCTCTCAGCGAGAACTGCTTTCTATGAAATTAAAATGTCCTGCACGGTTTGTGTGTTTTTAATTTTTCAGCCGAGTGAATTTGAGCTTCATAAAAAAGTAGGAGATCGAGTGGCCACGCTCATGATCTACGTAAGTGAACCTGTACACTTTTTTCGCATGCTTGGCAGCAATACTCATTGAAGAATATTCTCAGTTTTTGAACTCAGGACTGCTATTTGTTAGAAGATCTTTTTCAATGCCCTTTATACCTTATTGAGGAGTACACACCTACGCTCAGTGCACTCAGTTCAGTATAGTTCAGTTCGTTTGCTCAGTAATGTTTGACGGCCCGTTTAATGTCGCAGGCCCATGGGCATCCTAAGCAAGTTCTTCTCGTAAGGCTAACAACCTAAGCAACAACAAAAACACTGACAGACAATATGGACAGATATGCTGACTTCTGAATGAAAATATCAGGACCATCAGTGGCAGGACACAGATGAAGCCGCGAAGGAGACAATTCTCCTTTCTTGTTGTCACTTTGCGAATATGCGGACGACTGGCACAATTTCATTGATTGGTATGGCGCGTTTCAATCTCATTCACTGATCTATTTCCGAAGTAACTTGGTAAACACGGGGGGGGGGGGGGGGGGGGGGTATCGGTGGTGTAAGGCGTGATTGAGTAGCAGAAACGTTAAATTAATCCATATATCTGCAAACCTCAAACCCATTTTAAGTGGGTTGGGAAATTTTCGTGCTTGTTCTTTTGCAGATGAGTGACGTCGAAGAGGGCGGGGCCACAGTCTTTCCATACCTCGGAGTAAAGCTGACCCCCAAAAAAGTTAGTCGATCTTCGTTACTCTCTTCATTTCCTCACCACCACAAAACCAATTTCTCGAGAAATACATTTATGCCTCCATTCCTGCAGAGGACGGGTAGGGATAAAGAAAAGGGAAAATAAAGTTGTGAAAGCACGCAGAGAGAAACTGGGATCAAAGGATTCTGCACAAAATAAAAAAAAAAAAAAATTCGATAATAACAACACAAAAATTATTTGTATTTAGGCACTGAGCCTTAACAAAGCTCGAGTGTTCCAGCGAAGATTAAATTTCTGATTTATGATAATTTTTCGGCCTCTCCACCTGGACGTGCCCAATACTCTTTTTTCAAATGTTCATCAAACAACATTGGCTATCGTAACTAGGGCACGAAACGTGTGATTTGATCCAACTCCTCGCCGAGCGATAGGCACGTTCGATTTACCTGCATGCTTTGCACTGGCGCAGAAACGTGTAGGGCGGTGTGCTTCCGATCGTATCTTAATACACATTCCGGAAGTATACTGCCCTACAGTTTTCTGCATGGGTGCAGGAGGTGCAGGTAAATTGAAGGAGCCTGCAGACGTAACCCTCGAATCCAGTACCTGCCCAAGAAATGGACCACTCGGATAATTGTGGGTGGGGCAACAACTACGAGATGGCCCGCACGTTTTAAAAAGAAAGGGTCTATATTGGTCGCATAGCGATCGACTTTAATTTGCTCGACAAGGAAGTGAGCACAAACAGACGACCCAAAAGCCCATGTCGTCGGTTTGTCTTCCTGCCCCCCTTCCGTTATTGTAAAGTAGATACCAACATTCTGAACCATCCCCACCTGCTTATATCGCCATTTCTTATGCCTGCCCTGGGGCCTCAGCCTCAAGATTTAGCTATTGGAGCTGTCTTCTGCGGCTATTCGACAGTACCTACATTTTGAGCTGTTCTGTTAGCCTGTGATTTAACGCGTAAAAGGTAATTCCAAATTTCATCGGATGAAATGAATGACGTAATTGATCAAAATCAAGGCTAAAAATTGCAGGGCGACGATGTTGGGGATTTTCACACAAAATGTAATCGCCCAGGGCGACGCTGCGTTCTGGTGGAACCTGAAGGCGAACGGGGAAGGAGAAGTTCTCACGACACACGCCGGCTGTCCAGTCCTTTACGGATCCAAGTGGAGTAAGTTTCTTATGAGCAAGAAATCACACTCTACAAAGCTAGAGGTCACTACCTACAAAACTTCCAAAATAAGCTTAGTAGAAACGATTTGCAGGCCGCCTACCTTATGCCATTGCCGTCTCCGGGCATTTGCACAATAGTCCCCGAGAATGCCAGTGAGCCGCAGGCACGCGCTGCCTTCCAACAGAACATTTCGTATATTACATGTTTCCTCATGACATCTGTCCTTCAACACTTCGCCCAAACCCTACAACCAAACTACCAAGTATGAATTGTTTTGAGGGATGAGTACAACCTTCTCCAGGGGCCATAATCTGCACACGTGGCGAAGACGTCGGCGAAAAATCCAGCGGTTATGATTGGCCGGCGCCAAGGTCAAGTGAGGCGTTGGCCAATCACGGTCGCGGATTTCTCGCCACAATTTTCGCCAAGTATCCACATTAGGGTCCCAGCTTCAGTGAACTGAATGTCGAAGCCAGCTTTTTTCTTTGCCGCACACTTTTTATTAGTGGAGAAGCGATCATGTGCGCCAAACGCAGCTCTAAGTGTTTCGGAGAATTGGCCTTGCAAAGAGTCAAGTTGTTCGTAAGCATCTTTAGAGGAAGAAGAGATATCTACAAAGCCGCCCTAACAGTCCCACAAAGAGCTATTGTGGCACTTAGCCACCTACACTCCGGGCTCAAAAGCAGTGAAGTGTCCACGCTTTACCAAAACTGTGTCCTGACCTTGTCCTCCCCAAATCTAATATTTGCTTTCTTTCCTTACCTATCCTAGCACGAACTGACTTACCCGCAATGGAAGACGCAACAAAAACGCATGAGGCCTTAACGTTTCTATTCAACCCACACTTGTACCGGTCCATCTATCTCAGGCCATAGAAACTTTTAGCAAATCGTTACCGTGTTCCGCGTGCCGCACTACTGGAGCCTTTAAAGCATGTTTTTAAGCGCGCGCCTGGAGCGATACCGCGACCGCGCTGGCTGCAGTAGCGCAGTACGTGGAACATGTCAACGGTTTGCATCAAGTCCACATTATTACGGAAGTGTGGTGGTTTCTCTAACTGCCACTAAGTTGAGTGCATAAATTAAATGAGTGCATAAATTGCATGAATAAGTGACGAAGTACCCCAAACATTACACATTATTTACTTCACGTAAACTAACAAATAAACACCCACCCAGAGAAGGGAAGAAATATGAGCTTGGCGATCTTTCGGGATATACGGAATGCCTAATTATTTTATTGCAAGTAATATCATTTTTGAGCGCCTTCCGCGTGTTCCATGGGCGAACGAACGTCCTGCGCTGGATTGCGTTCACCGTTCCCAAAGTTGACGTTATTCTCTCATGCAGTTGCTAACAAGTGGTTCCTGTCCAACTGTAACACGTTCCGGCTGCCCTGTTCCAGAGACCAGAACGCCTCCTTGGCACCTTTCCTCTAAAGTATCTACCAAGGCATTACACACACCTCTACAATGCGTCCCTTTCACTCTTGGAAATCTGAAGGGTCTACTTTCCCGCAAAGTACTTGCGAGAGCCAATCTTTGCAATCTACGAAGGCTGCTCGGCGTATGATGAGGCTCAACGGATCTGGTATCCCAAGCCGACCTTCCGACGCAAAACGAACCGGAAAAATCTGTACCAACACAGAGTAAGCTCAATCTTTTACCGAATGAGTCTGAGCAGGTCAGATTTACCTTGTTAGATTTTTAGGCGTAGTTTTATTTCTATAATGATGAGAGTGAAAGCCTGGCCAAAGCCAGGGCTCGGTGCGTCCGCGTACGACCGAGTTAGCGGTACTATATACTTGTGGCGCTATCTCTCGATGGGTGCAGCGAACAGAAAACCGAGTGTGGCATATGCTCGCTGCGCGTACTTGGAGATGGCGCCACAAGTGAATAGCGTCACTAAATCGACGGTCTGCGAACACTTCCAACCTTGACTTTGGCTGGTTTATTTTGCTCCAACTTTTAACAGAAAAACTGACAGACGTTTACAAATCTCTGTAATGCGAAATTATAGAGCAGCTCTTGAGGAGGAGGATCGGAGGGTTACGGAAGACACGGTATGCCTCTCCTCCTACTCAGTACCCTCCCCTTCTCCTCCCCTTCTTTCATCCTCCCCCCCTACCCTTCCTTCTCTTTCCATCCTCCTCCTCTGCCCTACTCCTCCTCCTTCGTACCTTCCTGTCGTAGCACCGAAGCGCAAGACTTAGAGCGGTGGCTCATGCAACGTCAGGGGCTAATGACGTTTTGAGCGCCTGGCACGAGCATCACCGACGGGACCGAGCTCCGAGCTCGGACAGAACAGCACACGCCTGGCAGCGATCGACGGTGCAGCAGGGCGGTCTCAATGGAGCCCCATTTTTGTGTTCTTTTCAGTTTTTTAGCTGTTATTAAGATCCGTTTGTTGATTTCCATCGACGTACGTCTTTCCTGACCGCTACACCCTCTTCCTCCTTTGTACCATCCCCTCCTCTTCCTTCTCTTTACCCTCCTCGTCTCCCACAGTTCCCCCCCCCCCCTAAATTTAGCTGCGAAATTGAGGCAGCGTGACTTCCACGAAAATTCGAATCCCCGCTAAATTTAGTGGGGAATATAACTGCTGTTGACGTCACGTGACGCCAATTTTCTCGCTAAATCTAGCGGAGAAACTTCATTTGTTCAAAGGTGACGTAATACCGAGTCACGTGACGTCATATTCTCTGCTAAATTTTTGTGGGGAAACCGAATTGGTGTTGATGTGACGTGACGTTAATTTTTCCGCTAAATTTAGCGGGGAATAAAATTGCAGTTAAAGTCACGTGACGTGGGTTTTCCCTCTAAATCTAGCAGATCAACTAAATTTGTTCATAGGTGGCGTGACACCGATTCATACGACGTCATTTTCCCAACTAAATTTAGCGGTGAATGGGATTGGTGTTGGAGGTGATGTGACGTCAATTTTCCAGCTAAATTTAGCGCAATTACGCCGACGGCGACGCGACGCCGCGAAACCGTGAAAAGGGGCGCCTAAGAACTGCGCCTTGAAATTTTACATGGTAACACTGACCTGCCCAGTGCACATGCGGTGAATGTTTTAAATTTTTTATGTGTAGGCACCGATTTTTGCCGCCTGTTTTACAGTATAAGAACCTTCCACTGTGCTTCTTTACGTGTTTTGGTTTAAAAATAAAAACAATTTCGCTATGGAGTTGAGCATTGTGAAACGTGAGGCTGACAACCACAGCGCAGACTTTTTTTTTTAGGTCCGAACGAAGTTTTGCCTTGTCATTTGCTGCGCTTCCTTTGTGGATAGCAGCGACTGGCTCTCCTAATTGATTTTCCGAAGAGTAAATGCTGCATATTTCTCAGAGCATATATCAGTAGTCGGTATACGCCCCCCCTACCCGGTATCTTCTAGCGCCACGTGGAAATCGAGAGATTCTCCGTTTTTCAATAAACATGTGTTGTGTATTACAATAAATGGTGATCGTGTTGAACATACTAAACTTTACATTTCTGCCTTTTATTCGCCCTTCCGCGGACAGGAAGGCCAATGGGGCATCACAATCCGTCACAGGCATAGACACAGTCTGTACATTGATCTTGATCCCGGTAATGCGGTTATTAACCGACCGTGCCAATAATTAAAAAAAGGCTTCTGAACTCTGCAAGTATTAGTGCATAGCAGTGTAGCGGAATGCTTTGTTTGATTTGGAAAGTGACCTACAAGCATGCACTGTTCTCGGACGCTCCCTGCACTAGAACAGAGAAGCTACGTGTCGCTAGTTCCACGCATGCATGTCTTTCGACATCCCTGGGCGGCCGTTAAGGCGCCGAAACCAACAACCAACAAAACCAGCGA